TAAGATGTGACATGGATCAAATTTCCACAGTGAAAGCACTCGTTATGTATGACAAATAATACTAACAAATAAACATATTCACAACAATTCCTACATCAGTGAATGATTGATAACCTAGGGAGGGTACACTAGCCAACTTCATATATAGCCAGAGCAACATATAATGAGGAAGGAAAGCTGCAGAGAATGTGAGTGCAAGGAAAGGTGAGAGTCTCCTTCCATTAACGAATAAGCCTTTCCCTATATATTAGGGAACAGGACAAGTTGCATATCATAGAGTAGAAAAGGATATATATAAAAACAAATTAGAGATCTCAGAAGCAAAGTTATATCTGGTAAACTTTGATGATGGATGCCACATTCTCTGGTACAATCTCAATTCAAACCTCTCTTAATGGAATCCTGTTAAGGTTCTTTTTCTTTGAGAGAGGGTATCACTCTGTAATCCAGGCTGGCCTTGAACTCATTCTGTAGCCCTGGCTGGTCTCTCACTCATGGTGATCCTGCCTCACTTTCCCAAGTGCTGGGATAACATGGTTGAAACACTACACCCAGGTTCAAAGTCCTTTTCAGTGGTGAGAAATATCACTGAAATGATTAAATCAACAAGTATTTGAAGTCGGCCAATATGCATTTTGGAAAGTTCCTAACTCTGGGATCACACAGTTGGCCTCTAGTCTCCACAGCAACCTGGAAGCACTTTCTGGCTCCTCAGGATGAATTTAGGCAGTGCTTGAAGTGGAAAGTTCCTGCTTGCTTCTTTGCTTTCTGTGGTAATTCAAAAGGTCTATTTCCCTCAGTTTATGGTAGTTGACACCACACCTATGATTGCAGGAATGCATGATTTCAGGGGACTTGCTTTTCAGTGATAAATCTACTCCATGGAATGAAGAATGTTTTGAAATTGGATACTGGAATTTCCAATTGTATGTTGGATTCCAGGGTCCTTAGTGTTAATTTTCTGCTGAAAGTGTTCACGTTGACACTTATGATGGGCAAGATTTAAATTCCTAGTGTTTATATTAATTTTTTGGGTATGTGTCTGGCTCTAGTCATTATACCCAAGGGTGATCTACCCCTCACTTATATCACCCTCCTTTCTGCTTTTTTAAATTTTAAGAGAGAATTTTGCTTAATTTCCCAGGCTGCCTTCAGACTTTCAATCCTTCAGCTTCACCCTCTAAAGTAGCTTGGGTTACATGTCTGTACAATGATTTATATAGTACACATATCATATCTGAAAGAATTTCCCAACTTTTATAAAACTTTTCAGTGAGGAAAAAAGGTTTGAACTTTGTAAATAGAATTTGAATCTTTAGTATGGGTTAAAATGTGCACAGAAATGGATAAGTTCTATACAAGGATTCATTCCTCTAATCTTTCAACATGAGTCTTGGTTTTATAAAACTCAGTTTCAGTGTTTATCAACTGTTTAATGGACAAAAAGGGAGATCTTCTGTGAGCTTGATTCTTACACGTACACCTCAGATATGTGGTATTGGCTGCTCTCATTTATGAGGACATCAGTAGCATGTGTATGGACATATTTCAAACACTGCAGGGTTGTCTTATGAAAGACAGGATAGGAGGGAAGATCTGAAGTCCAGATGGGACAATATAGGTCAATAGAAACACCTGTGACCTTTCCTGTGGGAATTTGCTTCAAACACATCTTCCATGAGGCACCTATGACACATTTTGCAAGGGACTGAATTGGTCATGCACCTGAAACTGCATAGAGCCTGCTGCACCTCAGCTGCACAGGAGGTCAGAGAGGAACAGACTGGATCCTTTCTCCTTGCATTGCACATAGGCTTTAAAGGAGTGGCAGTAAGGTTACAGGGACCTTCAAATTCCTCAGCAGCCACCTGCTCCTGCAGATAGCCCAGCACATGGCACTCTCCAGTGCCCAGGTCTTTTACCCCTGCCGCTGAGCAATGAGATTGCTCTGTGAGGCCCCCGTGACCCTGCACAAGTTCCATCCCTTGGAACCACACACAAATGTTACATTCAAAACTTGTAAGAGGTTTTGAACAATCACAGTAGTGAATGAGTTGGAAGTGTCCTTCCAGAACGGAGGGATTGGTAACCTAGGGAGTGTACACTAGCCAACTTCATATATAGCTGGAGCAACATATGAGGAAGGAAAGCTGCAGAAAATGTGAGTGCAAGGAAAGGTGAGTCTCTCCTTACTTTAATAAGCCTTTCCCTATATATTAGGGAACAGGACAAGTTGCATATTATAGAGTAGAAACACTCCCTAGGTTACCTCTCTCCTTGGTCTGCAGTGCATATAATTGGATCTCAGTGCTGAGGAGTAAAACTCTATTATCCTTTTTGGAGTTGAAGCCCTCTCTAGGCTTGAAAGACTTTGTAAATATCTCTTCCTGCTAAGGCTCAAGGTCCAATTTCAGGAGTGTGCACGAGGGGTGCTTCACAGCAGAAGAAGAGGTCAAAACCAAAGTGCAAAAAGTGAGACCTTCTCCTGAACATCCCAACTCCCAAGTGGTAGAGGCTACAGGGAGCCGCTGTAGAGTCTCAGGGTCTTTACAGGTGATAGTGAGGTATTCATAAAGCAACTCTACAAATTCCCTTGATCCAGCACAATTCTTGCTCTGGTCACCGCTTCCCCAGCTTCACTGAGAACATTTCTCGTGCCAAGTTGTACCCTAGAGAAGTGATCAAGTGTGGATCCATGGCTGGAGAACTGCAGGAGCCTGGCCTCCTGGCACCTGACTCTGACCCTTACGTTCGTGCTGGGAAGAAACTTTTTAGCAATGTAAGGTCAGGAAACATATGGAAAGTCTAACCATGAAGTAGTCAGTAGGACAGTGGGCTAAGTATGAGAGGTGTAGGGATAACTGGAGTGAGTTCGTGGTAGGAAACTTGAAGTCTTTGGTGAAATGAACATATTCTTGGAAAAACCTAACTTGGAAACATGACTCAATAAGAAAGAGTTGTCTTACAGTCATTTGAAATATGGAATGCAGAGAAATCTTTCCAGAAAGGAAATGAGAGACACAGTCACCGAAAATTTTAAAACTTTAATGAAGAAATACCATTTTGTAAGAGAATTTAAAACATAGTGAGCAAAGCACACTTGCCATATAAGACTGAGTAGACTCCAAATCCCTACTGATAATCCCAGTAGAAAAAAAGTGTACAACTTAATCATGAAGGTAATGTGGAAAATTTTGTAGAAAATGTTAGGAAAAGTAATCCAGCAAAATATAAGTAAATATATTTGGATTAGTTGAGTTGTTGCAGAGCAAAACATTTTTAGGCTGGCACAGAGGTACGTGGCTGTAGGTCCAGCTACTTGGGTAGCTGAGTGAGGCAGAAGGATGAGAAATTCAAAGCCAACTTGAGCAAATAATGCAGACACAAATTACTTGTTAAAATGGGCTTGTTGATATATCACAGATGTGGAATTCCTCAGTGTGCAATACCCAGGTCCAAAAAATATTGTTTAGTGTAAGAGACTTCAGCAATTTTAGAGAAAAAACCCACAATGTTGCAAAAGATAAATAAAGCATTTAAAATCCAACATTTATACAAACAGAATACACCAAGATCCTGATGGAGAAACCAAAGGGTCCTTTGATAATACATAAGCCGAGGGGAAGCCGAAACTGGGCAATATAGACAGTCCTCTGGCCTCTCACTGCTGGGAATGCGCATACTATGGGAGTTTTCCTGCATGTGATAAATAAAAATGAATACAATTGCTACAAGTAAAGGTGTCATTTTGGACAAATGTGGTATTTGTGTAGATATGCAGTTTAGTGACTCAAAATAGTACTATTTCAAACACATGTAGAAATTGTTGTATTAAGCAACCCGAGGGAGTTACTCTAATTAACAGTAAGAGTTTCTGCAAAGAGTTTCTTCCCTTTCCTGTAGACATGGTGATATACAACTGTTTCTCAGCCCTTGTATCACTTGCAAACACACTTACATCTGCACCAGTGCACACCCATTCTTAAGGTGCTACATTTTAAACCTTGAAGCCTCTGCATGAACTTGCTGTATCCCTTGCCCAGGAGGCGGTGGAGACTGTCTGCTATGTGCACCAGTGCCTGCTGCAGCAGAGAGCTCAGGGCACATTCATTACTTTCCTAGTCTGATGCCAGTTTGGGCTCCCGTTGCCCTAAATTCTTGGATTCTGGCATGCCAAAAATTGGTTGTGGAATGGCAACTGGTAATTCTCTTGATGATGCTGAGGCTGTGGCACCCGCTAAAGATGGCATCCCCAAAGGTTTGGGTGCTGTCCTCGGAATGACATATAGTGATGATAGGACTGGTGTTCTTCTTGTTGCTGGCCTGTCACCTGGCCAGGGAAAACAAAATGGGAAGGAAAGCCAAAGAATGGTAGCTTTCCCCTGGCTCATACTTGGCGCTTTCAAAATACTGCACGGATGTATTAGGATAAATAAAAGTGGCTGGTGTGTAGGTGGGAGAAAGTCGACTTGGTGCAGTACCTTTATCCTCCCCTGGACATACTGGTTACTTGTTAATGTCTGTGAGCACAGAGTCATCTGCACTAACAAGTTCACTTGGAGTTGTCTGTGTTTCCAGTGAAGAGTCATCTCCATGCGATAGTGTCTCTTGGGCATGCAAGGCAGCTTGGTGCTTGGATGAGTTGTCAGATTGTGCCTGGCTACTTGGGGAGACCAGGGACTGAGACCTTTGGATGGGGAACACGTTTAATTTATTCATGGCATCAGTTCTGTTTTTTCTTCCCACCTGACCGTCTCTGTCTTTTGTTTCTGAACCAATTCTAAATAGAAAATAGAAAAATACATTAATCAAAGTTAGTTTTCTGGTAATACCTAAGGCATTTCTAAAGTGGAGGAACATTTTCCAGGTCAGCTCGGCCTCCGCATTATTAATATCTTGCTCCCTCACCACTAGACGTCATGGCAAATGAAGGCCCCGTTGTCTTGGTAGCACTTGTTAGAGAAGTTTTGAAATGTGTACTATTCCAAACTCCCAACTACTTCCATGGTTTGCGTCACCCTTCTTGATGTGCAAATTGACGTTTTCAAAATCCTTCCCTGACCAGTCTGCAACCTATTTAAATTTTTCAGCATTTAGACAGAATACTGTCCAGAAAGACATTCCCACAACTTCTCTGGTACTCAAGCTGTCCTACATGATACCTTCACATTCAGTGTATGCTCAATTATGTTTTTAAATCCATTGTATTCAAAGTCCTTGCACAGAAGGAAGAAGAGTTTTTCACAACCAAGCAGTGTATTTTATGGGACCCTCAACATGTTATGGGACAACTCCTGTCTTCTGTATTTTCTCCTCCATAAAAGGATGATAATCTTTCCTGAAAATCAGAGTCAAGAGAATTTCTAGGGGAAATTTGCAAATGATAGAATGCTGTTGTAGACTGTCCATTCTGATTAACTACGTTGCTGGTGGCACATTTACATCATTGAGCACACACTGAAGTTTGGGGAAGCTCTTGATATCTGCATATTTCTTGATTCTCTGTCACCACATTCAGTATTGTGACGATAGCTGGAAGGCCCATGGATACACATTCATTTTTGCCTAATATAAATTTGTCATATTCATAATGAATGTGACACTTTTGAATACACTCACTTTTTGCACCTCAAACCAGAGTGCATAGGCAGATCAGGATAAAGAGTGAAGATTTTTCAGAGGTTACAGAACTAATGTGGAGGCTGAGCTCATAGGATCCACCATGAAAGAAGACAATACTTTGTCTTGTGCAAGGATCCTTTGATGCTAACCCTTCCACGCCACATTTGGGGTCACAGCACAGGCATTCATCAGGACATGAGGCTCATTTTAATCCCAAATCCTTTTGTATACATCACCTCCCTCAGATTTTCCGTTGATTTGTAAATTCATTGATTTGCATGCCCTTTTAAGTTTTTCCACTTCATGACTTTTATACTATTATAAGTATAATAGTGCATTGTTTACACAGACTTTGCTGCACATTTCTTTTATTCTCCAAGGCCATTCTTATATCTCTTTCTTCCTTCCACTGGGGTATTTTTCTCCCCTTACCATCCAACCAATATACTCAGTGATCCAAACATAATGACAAGATAAATCATATGGAAAACTTTAAAATGTAGCTAAATATTTTAGTTTTGAAATGCTTGAGATTGAGCCAGTGTCCTCCATCATGCAGGCATCGGATCTTCCTCTTGGCCACACCCCCAACCCTATTACAATTAAAATGCAGAACAACTTTGTGCATCTTGAATGATAATTTACAAAACAGCCCTGTCATATATCACCCCTCCATAAATACACTGCTTTATGGCACGTAGGATCCTGAAGTACCTAGAACACTGAGAGATGTCAAGCGCTGGATCAGAGGAAGCCTAGTCATTCCTTCTGCACTTGATATTCTATTATGTAAACTTTGATTTTTGTCACATCTGTAAGTTACAACTGCTGCTATTCCAAGTCTTGCTTTATTAATTATACACAAATCCAATCTTTTATTGGCTTAAACCAAACCCTAGGATCCTTCCTTTCTTATTCTTCTCCCACTCCATAGCCAATACCTCCACAAACTGTCAGCTCTACATTCCAAATACAGAAAATCTCCCATTGCTGAGGAGTTCCACAGCCAGCTCTCTGGCTGGACTGAGCATCACAGTCCTCATTTGGGGGAATTATAAATACTACTTACCCGGTCCATGCTCCTGATTTTGTCTCACAACAGGTTTTTTTTGTTTTTTGCATAAAATACAAGTGTAATGTATACATGCCTATACTAAAGTATATAAAAATGACTGACAAAACCCCTACATGAAATGGCATACTATCAAACATTTTCATAATTTATTCCTTTTTTCATATTATCTATAAAAATATATATCCATAGAAAACTTTGAATATTGGGCTTACATCAATGACATCATACTGGCAGTCAAATTCATGGGCAAGTTTTGCCTTGGTTGTGGAATTTGGGTAAGGATCCTTTTCAAATATTTGTTTCCGAATCTCCAATTGATCCTGTGTAAATCTGCCTCCCAGATTGTCTTTCTCGTGTTTTGTTATCATCATCTTTTTTATCTGAAGATCCTGAAAAATTTGGAAACACAAAGAAAAGCATGAGTGAATAGCAGTAGCATTGAAAAATGTTGTTCTGCTGTAACAACTCATAATTTAAGATTTATAAGACTGTAGCCTTTATTATTAATAAAGTAATAACTATTTTAATATAATGAAGATGAAAGGAGATGTAAAAATATTGATTGATTGAGTGATTGATTGATTGATTGATTTTGAGACAGGATCTTAATTTGGAGGATAGCCTGGCCATGAACTCAATACATAGCTCAGGCTGGCCCTGGACTCACAGTGATCCTCTTGCCTCAGCCTCTGAATACTGAGATGACAGGTGTGCACCAGCATGCCTGCTTAGAGGATATTTTTTTAGGAAATGAGATTATTAATGCATGTGTAGTAGCATAGGCCTGTTCTTCTAAAACCCTCAGTTCTGAGGCAGGAGCATCCCTTGATCCACGTGAGAAGAAAAGCCATGGAAACAGGAAGACCTATTTCAAAATACATATATTAACTAAATAAAATAAAAGAACATTCTTTAAGATTTCCAGAAAATTGAAATATTTCTTAGGCAAAACAAAGTTACCAGAATATAAAAGTGGAGAGCTTTGAAGAAGACACAGACATGCAGAGATGTTTAACATCACTAATTGCTAAGGAAAAGAAAGTCCAATCTATAGACATACATCCTTAGCATTGTTATTATTTAAAAACCGGGAAGATGTGGCTGAGGATGGATGGATATTGGAAACATTGTATAGTATCAGTGGAAATGCAATGTGGTGTAGCTTCTATGCAGTTTCCCAAAACATTAAACTACTATATTATCCAATAATTCTGCTCATGTGAGGTGATAATGTGGTCCAATTCATAGGTTTAACCTAAATAAAATGGTAATTTAAAGGGCGTGAGGAGAGAGAGCTCTGTGGAGTGAATTATTTCATGGGCAGAAGGCACCACCTTTGGCAAATAGAAAGGGCAGGATGGAGGTGATGGTGGCATCACCGTGCAAACGTGTGCAAGGCCTCTGAGCAGTCAGGTACAAGTGGGTCACATGCTCACATTGACGTTCTGCTTTGTCAGGATTAAAAACACCCTAATCCAAGAAACAGCCCAGAATTATACAAGAGGAAATTGTTCATAATGAAAATTATAGGCACAGAGAGATTTTGCTTTAATCTCAAAACCACCAGCAGATAACAGAAGAAAATGAAAACTAATGACATTATTTGTAACAGTGGAGCTCCCATAATCTGACTACTTCTGAAAGGACACAGCTGTCGATACTGTTGCAGAGCGGATTAAGCTCCTAACACAACGTGGTAAGCGTCACATTCAAACTAGAACACTGAGCTTCACTCAGTTGAGAAATACCTGGAAAACTACTTAGTGAATGAAGGTGAGCATTTTAGATATTTCACTAGAGAGATAATTTGAAGAATCTTTTCTGTTTGGTGAGGTTTTTTCTGTTTCATTTTTAGAGGGGTCTCACTTTGTGCTACAGGCTGACTTTGAGCTTACTATGTAGCCCAGGTGGCCTTCAACTCATATGGATCACCTGCCTCACCCTCTCAAGTGCTGGGATTACAGGTAGGTGCCATCATGCCGGAGTAAGAATCATGGTTTTTAAAAAGATGTAAATATGAGTCAAAGGCCTGATTTCATTATTAAATTAAACAAATAGTAGATAATGTCATCAGGAAAACCAGAGCACTTGCCTGCCATGATCTGCACCCGGAGTTACAGGCCCAGGATAGGAAGAGGAAAGAAGAGCAAAGGGAAATGATGCAAAATGCCACAGTGATGCAAGCTAAAGATGATAATTTCATGTTTCTTAACCACAATTTTGAAGTATATTCATTTAAAAAGTAACAAAAGGAAAGAGGGACAGAACAGCTACAATGAGGTAAGCATGGAATTCTTTGAGTAAAGGATCCCAGTGCTGCCTGGACCCACTCTGCACCTCTGCTGAAGTGATCAGTGGCACAGTATGCCAGCTGGGCACAGGACTGTATCCCAGCCTCAGCGCTCTGAAGAAACAGGGCTGGGGTAGAGGCCAGCTGGGACTACAGAGAGACCTAGCTCAAAAAAAATTCTGTGATAAAAGGTATGAAAAAGCTTAGAATTTGAAACATTGAAATTTGCATGAAAATGCAGTCTTGGATCTTAACACTTTCCTTACAGAAGTTAATAAAGTATCAGAGAACACAAATTACGGGAGAGCAGTTTTTGTTGTCATTTGTGAAAGGAAGATTACCCTGGCACAGCAGAGCACTGGGAGGCTGTTCGCCAGCCCTGCTGAGTCTCTGTCCACATCATACTGCAGGAAATGCCAGGCTTCCCTAACCTGGTCAGAAATAATCCCACTGGCAAACAGCAAAACCAAGAGTTTCCTAAGGATAAAATGCTGTAAGCGCCTTCCTATGTCTAAACATCCTCCTTAAGAGATGCTCCTGAAATGGTGGAGAAACCTGGATTTGGAGTCTCAGGCAGCAGTGCAGATGCCAGCAAGGACATCTTGTATCCCTTAGTCAGACTTCATCTGCTGATTGGGGGAGGGGAACTCAGGTGGAAGCAGGACCTGCGTGCAAAGTACAGACCATGGTGGTTTCCTGCCCCATTTCTCACAAATGTCTGCTCAGTGCAGATGAAGAGATGGAGGTTAGTCTGTGGGCTGAGATGCCTACACAAAATTAGTGCTCTATGGGTGGGGTTAATTTCATTGGTGCTGAGCCCAATCCTGCAGTCTACAGAGAGGGTCAGAAGGCCATTATGGGAAGGAGCCTCAGCACTGTTCATAGAAGCCTGCCTTTCCTGGGAATGCCATGGCTTTCATGGACTTTTGGTCATGCTTGTTTTTTTTTTGGTTTTTCTCCGGTACCGGGAACCGAACTCACGACCTTGCGCTTGCCAGGCAGGCGCTTTGCCGCTGAGCTAAATCCCCAGCCCCTGGTCATGCTTGTAAGAGACACTCAGTACAGAGGACTCTGGCAAGAAACACGCACTAAGTGCATTGAAAGCAAAAGGGAGGAATAGGAATGTGTAAGGAAAGTGTTTTTACTAAAATAAACTTTTAACTCAAACTTCCACCACATATTTTGATTATACCATGTATCTGTGGATAGAAGCAATTTTTTAAAAACTGTAATCATCACAGATTGATTTTAAATACTTCACCATCTCAGAAAGTGCTGCTCCACAATTCCAGGGTTCAGCCACCATAGACAGTCATGTTGGTAACATGGCTTGTCCCCAGCCCCCTAGACTGCTTCTCCCATTTTTTCATGGTAATCTGAATTGAACTCACAGCTTTTGCCTTGAAGTATATCCCCAGCCTTTAAAAATTTCTCACTTTCTCATTAATTTAATAAGTTGCCTAAGCTTGCCTCCAATTTGAGATTCTACCACCTGTACTTTTTTGCTTGCCTAAGCTTGCCTCCAATTTGAGATTCTACCACCTGTACTTTTTTGCTTGAGAGGGGTCTCCTTGTGTAGTTTAGGGAGGCCATGAACTCACTATGTAGCCCAGACTGGCCTCAGATTTCTAGCAATCTCTGAGTGCTCAGATTACAGGCATATACCACCATGCCTGGCACTTGGGTGAAATATTTTCTTTTTTTTTATTTTAAAGTAAATAGTATAAAAAAAGAACAATAGCAAAATACAAACAACAAAAAGCAAGGACATTAAAAATGATACGGTGTTTTAAACCAAATGATAGAGATTAACTGCGGTTGTTTTATTACATATTGTTATCTTCAACGAAGTTGCTGAGATTACCAGATGTAAGAATAGAAGAATAGAAGATTAGGTGTTGCTCTGTAATTCAGGCTGGCCTTGAACTTGCTAGGTCACCATGGCTGGCCTCTAACTCATGGCAATCTGACTGCCTCGATCTCCTGAGTGCTGGGATTATAGGCAAGTGCCTGGACTACATGTGAGTGCTGAGATTGCAAGCCTGCACCACCACATTTGGGTCCTACCTGTACTTTGGTTTTTGAGACAGGGTCTTGCTACCTCATTCAGGCTCCCTTATCCTCACTATGTAGCCCAGACTGGCCTGGAACTCGAGGCAAGCCTCCTGCCTTAGCCTCCTGAGTGCTGGCATTACAGGTGTTTGCCACTATGCCTTGCACTACTTATAATTTTAAGAGATACAGTTTCCATCCCCTCCAAGACCCTGATATGTTACATAGGCTGCCACACACTTAACACTTTGCAGTTTCCCACCAAGCAATTTACCTTTGGAGGCCATGTGAAATATCTGGTGCACCTTCTCCAAGAAACACTGCTACCTAAGGCTGCTCTGAGAACCACCGTCCAAAGTGAAGGGAGTGTGGAAATGAGGGCGCTGAGGCAGAGCTCTTTAAATACCCCGCTGAGACCATCCAGCTATAGGATAGGCCCATCTACTCAGTCCCTACCACTTGCTCAAGGCCTGGGGCCATCTCTGCCCTCTCACTCGGAGCCCAACCAGTCTCAGCCCTGCCCAGACTCTGCCTACTCCAGACAAGGCAGAGCCTTACAGAGCCTCTGCTTAATGGACCTTCACATTTCCTACCTTCCATTCATTCAGCACCCACCGCAGCTTCCATTTTTATTCAATCCCTGGCATAGTCAGTAGAATGTTATGCACAGTCTGAGGGAGGTCAGTGAGGCCTTTAGACAACAGGCTGAACCCCTCACCCCAAACCTCAAGCTTGGGGCCCTCGCACTCAAACGCTACCAGCTGCTGGCAATGTGAGGAAGGAGCCGCAGCTGCCCCAACTTCACCACCTAACAGGAGTTTGTCCTTGATGAAGGCAGTCAGGTTGGAGGCAGGAGAGACTACAGCTTGCCATTAAGGACATTATAAGATCAGTGTTTTTATTTATTTATTGCTTGGTACTGAGAATTGAACATTGACCTTGTGCTTGCCAGGACAGAAGATTAGTATTTTTTGGATAATAGCTTGTCTTCCTTTGGATAGGAAGGGCTGGAAACTGCTACATCTCATCCCCTTTTTAATTTTATTG